TAAGGTCTCCAGCTGTAAACGTTGCTTTCATAAAGGAAACCTCAGTGACAAGATTACATTTGTGTGTTTTTATTTTTAAAGAAGCCTTTCTCTATTTTTCACAGAGATATCTGTGATGTGTAATAGACCAAGTAAAATTCAAATATACTCATTATTTTGTAGTATGTCCATTACATATCCCCAAAAATGTAACAATAGCAAAAGTATCATAGAAAATACATAACTGAGTTACCATGTATAGTTTTGCTGATCCAACTATCAAATCATGTCAACCAAACTATAACAACTATATATATATATATATATATATATATATATATATATAGTACATATCATACTTGATTGTGATAGCATTGAAAATATATTAATTCGGCTTCCTAGTGTGACTATTATTTTTAAAGCATTTAATATATTGTTAGGAAAATATTTATTACAGATCATAGCTGCAAAAGCATATTATATAACAAATTAATGGTCAAACCTATAAGAGTGGATTCAAGTTCTGTTCTGATTATTTACATATATGATTTGAATGTGTCAACATATTGTTACAAAATGTGTTACCTTTACATTCATAATTTTATCTAGAAATATTGGCTTGCCTTTTTTGTTCACATTTTAGAGTATCCTAAAACACTATCAGGCCAGTAAAAATTGATTTATCTGCTTATCTTTATAGCATCTCATTAGCATAAGTTAACTCAGTCCCACATCCAGGTACTTTTTCTAAACAATTTAGATGTTGTGACTTGGTGGCAACATTCCACAGCTTCTATTCTTTTGAAACCAAAATAATCCATTTCGGTTTCAAGGTTTTGTGCAGGACCAGACACTTACAGTCTCCTACCTGGACACTTTTAGAGCAAGAGGAACGTACCCAGAAACCTCTGGGCTCCTCTTTATCCGCTGATGGCATGTTGATTCAGCTCTTTTTAAGCCCAAGAAGGGCTACTTTAGTGAATGAAAACATGGACTTCACAACAAAAAATCTCTCTCCAAATCAAGCAGCTTTTCTACCTTTCCCTGGATGCTTGGACTGCTCTATGTTTGGAGGCAGTACTGCGAGCTTTGCCCCTCCAGCACCTCCCCGCTGCTTGCACTTACTGTGGGAGACCGCACATTTATCCCGGGATGGCTGCTCAGCAGCTCGCTTTCCCCGGGTGAGAACTTGCCTTAACACGCTTTTTCTTTTTTAACTTATATTGGCCAACGTAGAAAAGCCACTCTTCACCCGGGATGCATCCCAGTTGAAGGGAACATTCCTCAGCACCACCCTGAAAAAGAGCAACATGGGATTTGGATTTACCATCATTGGTGGAGATGAGCCCGACGAGTTTCTGCAGGTGAAAAGTGTGATTCCGGATGGGCCCGCAGCTCAGGACGGGAAAATGGAGACAGGTAAGTTCCTAAGTGCTGTTTGAGAACATCGTTGTGCAACATCTTTTTTTTCTACGGCAAAATATGAGGAGCTTCTTTCTGTGTTCTTAATTTGAGGGTCAAAGGTCACTTAACTTGAGGAAAACCACAAATTGTTTTTCCTAATTTTAAGAGGATCACACTGAAGTATTTTGGAAACGGCTTGAAATGTCATTTTGGCCACATTTTTCAGACTGCCCCTTCTCTTTGCTGGATTCAGTGGACTCTTGAGATTGACACTTTTCTAATTTAATTCTAGAGTTTCTTCTTAGGGATGTGATTAACATTTCATAGTTTTCTAGCTTATATTCAGCCATTGATATTTTTAATATGTATCAATCTTGTAGTATTCTCATGCTGAATTGCCCAGGTTATATATTTAAATATTCATGCTTATCTCATAGAAAAAAAATTTTAAGTGGTATTCATCTTTCTATGTCCCCATATGCTTTAATATATAGATTCTTTTCTCTAGTCCTTATGAATTAATTTTCATATGCAGTTACTTGGATGTCTATCAAATTATATTCAAAATTAATTTAGCATGGAAATGCAGAGGCAAATTGCGAAGGCTAAAAATTATAAAATATGAAAGGTGCACAGAGGTCAAGAAAAAAGTAATGAACTAAGTCTGATTTTGCATTCTAATTTTAAATTCTTCTACCTGGCCCATGACCTTGGATTAGTCCCATAGTTTATAAATACTTATGCAGGAAAAAAAGAAGAAATCAAATTTGATCTTGTGTATTTAAAATACTGATTTGAGAATTGTGAGTGTTGTTTATGACATGCCTTAGAGTATTATAAAGTGTAGTAACTATACTCCAAAGAACTATATCACCATTTCACATTTTTCACAAGATTGATTTTATTTATTATATAAACTTGTGAAAGTCAATGGGTTCTCGTAGATACACAAAGCAGAAAATTACTTTTGAGGAAAAGTTACGTCTTTTGTATGGTCTATAGATTTATAAATTGTGATTCCATAGATTTTAAAGTGTTTTGTGTATGAAGAAACAACATAAAATTGAGATATTCATCTGGAATTTTTATTTTCAAAAATGACCGGTGCTTCATTGCCAATTCCTAAGTGGTTTCTATAGAAATTGTTTCTTTTCAGGGTCACCTAATGAGTACATTTGTCATTCCCACTCACTCGTGAGTTATAACACATTTAATAGAGGCTTTATCTCCTGAAAAGTTGAGTGAAGTTTCAAAACTAACTAGTGTTTTCAAGCACTACTGTTGTGAAAAATTGTGTACATAATTTTCTGCAAGGGTGAGCTAGAGTGTGTCCAACTCTACTGATTCACCTGGCGCTGTTTCACTAGAGAGCCACACCTTTATGTTGCCAAAAAATCACAGAGAAACATCAAATGACTCAACTAAAAATCATTCTCATGCCCACGATTAGAATAAGAGGAAACTATGGAAACAATGTCATCTTACCTGAGGGGGAAAGATCTCCAAAGCTTTTGAACTTCAGTGAAATGTTTAACAAACCTCTTCCTTTTCATGATAAAGAATACAGTGACTTTTTTCCCTCTGACCCAACCCTCCCTCCGTGTTTTAAAACTAGAAAAGACCTCTTTCACTGTAAATTTAAAAGACAAAATAAAATTAATATATTTGCACAGCTAAGCTTTTCCCCTTCCTACCTGTTTTCCTAGTTTGCTACACCCACACTGTCTAAGCTAGCCTTATTCAACAACAATGCCAAAGTTTTATGTAGAGTTTATGAAGTTTTTTTTTTCAAGATAATCACAAAACAGGTTCTAATAGAAAAAGAAGAGCCTAAGATTTAATTCTATTTACTGTCTCATATTTTTTCCTCTATTTATTAATTCAACCTGCTAAGCTCTTCTTAGTCATTGTAGTATACCAGAACTACAAAAATGGATATGACCAGGTCCCAGTTCTCCAGGAGTTTATGTCTAAGAGGAGCCTTGTATATATAAACAAGTAATTGTCACATAAGAATAGGATAAATCTATAAAAACCATGCTATTGGCTATATAATTTTATTAGTCTTTTGTAAGGATGAGAATTTCTCTCATTAGAAAAGAGTTTAATAAAGATTGAAATCTGCTGCTTATTATTTATTCAAAAATGTTTATTTTAAATTTTGAGATAATTTAAAATAAAATGTGAACACATTTCTGTGGCATCCACACATTATAATAGAGGGAATGGCTCCTCAGTTTAGTTGAGCTAATATTTAGTGACTAGCCGTCTGTGCCAGGCATTCCATTAATTATTGAGGATGCAAAAATGAAGAGACAAATGTTTCTATCCTCAAGAAGCTTGAATAATGAGTGGCATGTCAATGAATATTTATATCAATGCAATAATAGAAATATGTGCAAAGTCCAGAAACAGCGTACAGGAAAGGGTGACCGATTCAACCGGGAAGTGCTTAGGGAAGGACTCAGAAACGATGCCTGACAGACTTTTGGATGATGAATAGACAGTTGTTGGGTGGACAAGTGAGGAGAGCTATCTGAAGAGGAAACAGCATATGCAAAGGCCCAGTTGGGAGGATGCCTAGAAAAAGATTTACACTAATATTTTACCTTCAGTGAATGTTCATGGGAAGTATCTAGTAAAACAATAACTATAACTTGTAAACATGAACTATTCAGACAAACATCAAAGAACAGTATAGAATCAAATTTAAAAACATATATATCACAAATGTACACATACCTATGTATAAAACCTTTCTCATAAACTTTCAACCAATTAAGCATAGAGATATACCCTATGATTTTTTTCTTTACTTGTTATCCTGACAGTGCCAGGCAGATAGCAGGTGCTTACTAGTACTGGATGGATAGATGGAGGATGGATGCTCTTAGAAATTAAGTGAAATTTGAATTGGCTGAATCCCACTGTATAGCCTAGTCAGAGTAATCGGGCCAATAGCTTACCGTTGAAGCAAAAAGAAGCCAGCTTTCCAGGTTCTGGATGAAATTAAAAAGACAAATGCATGTTAGGGATAAAAATGTCCCTTTTGTAATGATTTCATCTGTAAATGAACCTCAAAAATTAACAAAATTAATAGTCACTACAGATATAAACAATAAATCATTGGTACTAACCAATGTCACCCTGATACATTTAGTTAATAAAGTTATAAAAAGGTGAGGAGTCTCATTTGACATTGAGATAGCATGAAAATATTTTAATCAACTCTTCTAGCTCTAGATGATCTCTAATTTAGGCAAAGAGATGTCAATAGTTTGTGTGGACATTAAGAAAAATCCACTCTACCAAAAAGTTGACCTAGGATCCTGCAGAATAGAAACAAGGGTGGGGTGGGAATTCTTTCTTTCTCAGTCAGCACTGAGTCCTGGGAAGGGGTAGAGAACAGAGAAAATGACGATACTGTGCTCCTCCCTGCTTTTGGACAACTAACTGAGCCAATCCCCAGTCGTCATATCATGTTCCAGAAGCAGCTTTCCTAAAAGTTACCATAGTGCCCAGAAACCATCCTACTTCTGATTATTACTAGTAAGTATTCTGCAAGCATTTGTAGGCACCAGAGATCCTGATAGCATTCTTGCAACTATTTAAAAAATCAAGATTGAAAGAGTTGCTCCAACATGCTTCCGTTACAAAGCTTCCCCCGTTACATAAGGTTTCATGTCTTTCCCCAGGCTAATTTTTGAATCAAGGCTTTTGATTTTCAACAAATATAAGAGGGAGAAAAGCTGACCTATTGGTAAAGTTCTCCTGTAGAATGATGAGGTCACTTGTAACCTATTCATTTTTATGTGTCTCCTTATAAGGTGGATCCGTTTTATTAGTGAAGTGGCAGGAAGCTGTCTGAGAGACCAACATCCTGACCTCCTACAGCTCCTGGCATTTCTCCATTTGGCAGATCGATGTCACTGCTCTTTCACTGGTTGCTACCTCTTTATTTGTGTTTCTAGAAGCAGAGGCATACGAATGATTTTGTCAGAATGTCTGGGGGAGATTTTTTAAAATGCATATTCCTGTGTCCCCACGTCTACTGATTCCAAATTTCTGGAACTGGTTTTTGGGCATGTGCATTTATATACTTTTAAAAATTGCCAAATCAGTATGTGCACAAAGACATCAAAATATTTACAATCCATACAATATTTCCTGCCCTGCCCCTTCGTACCTTCCAGGCTCATATCCCAGAGGCACTGATCAGTTTGTATTTTTTTACATGGGTTTTCTTTTTTTTTTTTTTGGTAACTATTTTCACACCTCTAATTAATGTGTTTATACTGTTGTCTTGATTTAACAGTTTTAGACTTGACATAGTTATAGTATTTCCTTTTAGAAATAAATGAAGCTTTACCTCTCTTATCCCCCATCTGCCCTACAAACATTCTCCCAATAGAGTTTTGCAACTAATTTTAATATTTATATAGTCTTTGCGTTACCACCGCTTTGTAAGCTTGTTCCCTGACCCCAGTGGTGTACACTAATACACTTTTCCTCTAAACACATTTCTGAAGTTTCACTTTTTCTTTTCTTTTTTTTCTTTTTTTTTTGCTGTATTTTTTTTAAAGATAATAGTTTTTTTCCCCTCAAAGCACCATCATTTTAGGTCCTCTAGACTAGAGGATCTCTTTTTTTTTTATTCTGGGCAGTTTTTTGTCCTCTTACTCCTACCCAGGCCTATTATACAGCTGGCACGTGGAAATGTCCATTGTGTCTCTCCCAAACAGAGTCCACTGTTATTCATATCCACATCCTCTTTCTCCCTGGTTGCTCATTTCACTAGAGCACAGTCCTCATCTGTCTTGTGATCCTCAGTGGTCCACATTTAGAGTGAAACACGGCAAAGTTGTATTTGTGGCAGAGTTTGAAGGCTGCTCAGAATTTACCAGGGGTTATCAGGTAGGGACAGAATATGAAAGCCTGTTAAATGGGGCCATTTTTTCAGAGACACCCTCACCCTCTGATTTGGGGTAGGTGGTGGGAGTCCTGCAGGTATCGCA